TGGTGGGGTAGTGGTAACAGGTGGTATTCATTTGTCCAGACTCTGGCTTGTATTCTTAACATGGGTGAATTTTTAATTTTTATTGATTGATTGATTGATTGATTGCAGTTTTTGGCCGGGGCTGGGTTTGAACTCGCCACCTCTGGCATATGAATCCATACCACTGGCACCCTACTCTTTGAGCCACAGGCACCTCCTGGTGAATTTTTTAAATATAAATTTATATATCAGTTTTTAAAAAAAGGTTAACAAAGTCTAAAGTAGTTTTTCTTAGGTTTTTTTTGGATTTCTTTATAAAAAACAAATACATGGGTTTTATGGTTTATGAACCATAAATTGTAAAATACAGAAGTAAAATTACTGGTGTCTCCCTTTCTGAGCATTTTTGAAGCAAAAGGGGAATGCTAACTACTGAGAAGATGATGTCATATTATCCAGGGAACAGGGACTGATCTAAGAAGAATGTGGCCATTGGGGTGGTGCCTGTGGCTCAAAGGAGTAGGGCACCGGCCCCATATGCCAGAGTGGCGGGTTCAAACCCAGCCCCGGCCAAAAAGTGCAAAAAAAAAAAAAATGTGGCCATGAAACATACTTTGAGAAATACTGCTGCGACAGGCCACAAAGCTGTGGTGGTTTGTGTTAAACTTGGATCTTATAGCGGTCGAAATCTTACATTCTACTCTATCCCTGGTTAGGTCTCTTGGTGAGAAATCCTGTACTAATAAAATGTTCAATCTTCTTTGTTATTTGTTATGTTTTTGGTAAACTGATTAGGGGGCTTGAAATTTAGGCTGAGCCTGGTTTCAGGGACTGTGAATTACATAAGAGGTAAAGAAAAGGTCTTCATGTAAATGAAGTTGGAAATGCCAAGTAAGATCCAACAGTGCATTGTATGTACTCTTCTCCTTCATTCCCACTAGGAATAATTACTAAATAACTTAAATTTATAAGACTTCAATAGCAAAATATGTATTACTAAGATGATGAATATATAGCCTTTTTAAAAATTATTTTAAAAGATTAGTACTCATGCTGAAAAGAGATTATGATGAAAATTTTATAAAAATCTAATATGTCATTAGCAGGATTAACATCTTGGAATAATTTACCATCTAAGTAAATTGTTGGGCCAATATACAGTAAGTAGCAAAGCTATTTCATTTATCTAAAGGAGAAAAATTCCTAAAATGTATTCTGCATCAACACATCTTCTAACAATCCCCCACCTCTCTGGTAACAGGGTTTCATTGGTAGTGAGGACTCAGGAAAGTCTCAGCACCCAGCCCCCAAAAGCACTGAGGCAGATATCTCTGGTGATGGCATTACCTTTAATGCTCTGCACTTCTGTGGCTCGGTTCAGAATTCTACAAGAGTTCCTTGATCGTACCACCCAGTGGGAGGACCCCTGCAGGGCAATGTTCCTAGGCCACTGGCCTCACTCCTAGCTGACCTATACTGATGGCTGCCTTTGGCCAAGATAGTTTCTAGTTCCTGCCTCTGGGGGCCAGGTTGGCAGGCCACTTGAAGGCCCGGCAGGGTGTGTGGAGGAGCCTGCTCCCTGAGGAAGAGGCATGTGCTTTGGTGGAATTCTCTCCAGAGACTGGATTTTTGTCAGGGCGTGGTTTACATCATTTACTACTTTAGTTTAATGTCTCTTCCTTTCCTAAACACACAGACACATGTGCACTCGCCTTAATATTTTTGTCCTGACTCAGGTTTCAGTTTAATATTATTTCATTTCACCATTTCAGAGAAGTCAATAGGACAGGCATTATCCCATTTTAAAGACAAGAAAACTGACGTATAGGTGGGCCAAGTCCTGACATCTAGCTAGTCACATCCTGGGAACAAACACCCAGTGTTGGCTGACTGAAAGCCTGGCCCTTTTCCCACCATACTACTTTCTGTCTGCTTGCATATTTCCTCTCTATTAGCCTGTCCAGCACAGATATTTAATCTGCTGTTTTCTAAACCAAGAGGTATTTCACTAAGCCCAGGTTGTCTGAGAAGGAACATTTCTAAAGGATTAAAAACCAGTCATCTGAATCTTGACTATAGCCAGGGTCATCAAGTGAGAGGCCCTATTAGCAATGTTAAAGTTAAGAGCTAAGTTTGGGCAGCTGTAATTTTCTAATAGCTCTACAGCATATGTCCTATGTATATTTAGTAAAGGACTCTTTAACTGACACCAGGGCACTCTAATCTGGGCAACAGAGTGAGACTCTGTCTCAAAATAAATAAACAAATAAAATAAGAAAACAGCAAATGCTGTTTAAACACTCAGAAAGGGATTGTTTTCTATCATTTTGTTACTAACCTTCCTAAGAAGATATGAGGGTAGAAAAAAGGAAATTGGAAAACTACTTGTTGTAACTAATCTAACCAAGAAAATGACCAAAGGTTCAAAACTAAATATTGCCCACTAGTTACATCAGGAAGTTATCAGAGAAGAGTTTCATGGGATGAAGTCGTTCTGTGTAGCTATTGGTTCCCTGGTATAAATTATTAGATACTAGAAACTGCTAATAAGACTGAAGTTTCAGGGTGGTGCCTGTGGCTCAGTGGATGGGGTGCCAGACCCATGTACTGAGGGTGGCAGGTTTGAGCCCGGCCCCTGCCAAACTGCAACAAAAAAATAGCTGGGCATTGTGGCTGGTGCTTGTGGTCCCAGCTATTCAGGAGGCTGAGGCAAGAGAATCGCCTAAGCCCAGGAGTTGGAGGTTGCTGTGAACTGACACCACATCACTCTACTAAGGGTGATACAGTAAGACTCTGTCTCTAAAAAAAAAAAAAAAAAAGACTGAGCTTTCAGGTACAGCCAGCCAGTCAGCATCTCAGTGGCATCAACAGCATAAATATACTCTTCTGGAAAGTACAAGAACACTAAAGATCTGTGAACACCTTTTTAGTTTACTATGAATGCATAAATAAGTAGAGTTTTGTTTGCTTGGTAAGGTTTGGTTTTGGTTTGGCTTTGCAGGAGTCACAGTTATAATTCCATTATCAGTCTTTGGTCTTAATAAGCAGGCCTGGTAGGAGCTCTTTATTTTGTAAGGAATCAAAGTGGCAAGGAAAGTTCTAATAAGAAGGTGCAATCAACCACCTTATCATTGTAGCTCCTCACCTAAAGGACAGACACCATCCACTTGTAGAGTTTTAACAGTAGTAATAAATAAGCATCACCAAACAAAATGACAGGAACAATCCATTTTTGAGTGTTTAAACAGCATTCGCTGTTTTCTTATGTTATTTATTTGTTTGTTTGTTTCGGCATAGAGTCTCTCTTTTGCCCAGGTTAGAGTGCTGGGGTGTCAGCCTAGCTCACAGCAACCTCAAACTCCTGGGTTCAAGTGATTTTCTTGCCTCAGCCTCCTGAGTAGGTGGGACTACAGAAGCACTCCAAAATGCTCTGCTAATTTTTCTATTTTTAGTAGAGACAGGGTCTCACTATTCCTCAGGCTGGTCTCAAACTCCTAAGCACAAAGAATCCTCCCACCTTGGCCTCCCAGAGTATTAGGAGTACAGGTGTGAGTCACCGTGCCCAGCCTGTTTTCTCATTTTTTAAAAGTAATACACAAGAAAGGCAGTAGAGCATATTAGCGCTTATAGGCTGAGAACACTTGGCTCTAGAGTTAGAGAGGCCCTGGCTCCCAAACATACTTGGTCAGTCATGACTGTGTAACCAAAACTCTAAGCTTCAGTATTCTTATCTATAAAATAATGAGAAATGGTACCCATCACAGAAGTATAAATAAAACAATACTGATAAAATTCTTAGAATAGGGCCTGACTTAATAAAAGAGTTAAAAAAGGGAAGAAAATAAAAATGACTAGTAAACCACAGCCACTGTTAACATTTTGATGTGTTGGCATTCAGGCTTTTTCTGCTATATTTACACACACGCACACATATACTATACACATATATGTGTGTATTTACAGATTTATAAAATTTAGATCATACATGCAATTATCCTTCTTAATTTTTCCCACATATCTTTATGTTTCTCAGGACACTAAAACTGAAAACATGAGGCTGGACACAGTAGCTCAACATTTGTAATCCTAGTACTCTGGGAGGCCAAGGAGGGTGGATTGCCTGAGCTCACAGGTTTGAGACCAGCCTGAACCAGAGCAAGACCTCACCTCTAAAAATAGCCGGGGGTTGTAGCCGGTGCCTGTAGTCCCAGCTACTTCGGAGGCTGAGGCAAGACAATCACTTAAGCCCAAGAGTTGGAGGTTACTGTGAGCTGTGACGCCATGGCACTCTATGGAGGGTGACAAAGGTGAGACCCTGTCTCAAAAATAAAAATTGCTAGGTGTTATATCAGACACCTATAGTCCCAACTACTTGGGAGGCTGAGGCAAGAGGATCCCTTGAGCCCAAGAATTTGAGGTTGCTGTGACCTATGACACCATGGCACTGTATCAAGGGTAGCAAAGTGAGACTCTGTCTCAAAAAAAAAAAAAAAAACTGAAAACATTTTTATGATCTTTTAGTATTCTAACATAGGACTTTACATAATTTTAGTCATTATTTCCTTTTAAGGTAGCTATGCTATTTCTAATATTTTACTATTTCAAACATTGCTACGTTTTAAGGGCTGAGTTACTAAGTTAAACTTTTTCTTTTTGCACTTTTTAAAATTTCAGAATATTATGAGGTCTTTTTGTACTTCTTTCAAGTTGAACATTTTCATGTGGGTATTAATTACTGGCATTATTTCAATGAAGTACCTTTTAGAGAATGAATGCGACTTGCAAAGCTTTCTACGTAGGATCTCCAGTCTTGGAATGGTGTCAGGTACATAATACTCAAAAAATATTTGGCACAATGAATGAATGAATGGCAAGAATATTAACACTTTGTCTATCATGTTTGTTTCAAACGGGATCAGTCCATAGAAAACTTTTACCTCTATATACATGGACAACAACAATGCTATCTTGGTTATTAGTCTTTATACTCAATTTTTCTCCATTCTTTTCTTCCCCCACAGTTTATCCATGAGCTCGGATTTCCCACATTACAACTTCAGGATGCCTAATATTGGATTCCAGAATCTGCCTCTCAACATATATATTGTGGTTTTTGGCACTGCTATATTTGTCTTCATCCTTAGTTTACTCTTCTGTTGCTACTTGATTAGGTAACCAGTTTTCATTCTATGTTACTTCAGAATATGTTAAACAATAACAAATCATGTTTCTCCCCTCAGATTTTTTTCAAGTGTTATGATTGGCCAATTTTTTTAAAAATTAAGGTGATAGAACGTTTTAATCTCCTGTGAGTTAATCAGTAAAATACCTTATACAGTCTTCAGTTCTGTCTGCTGATGAGATGCTTTACTCTTTAGGAGAAAACTGTCCTCGTTTATTTTTCTACCTTATTAAGATCTTGTCTGGCTCGGCACCTATAGCTCAACCGGCTAAGGCGCCAGCCACATACACCTAAGGTGGAGGGTTCGAATCCCCAGCCCGGACCCGCCAAACAACAATGACGGCTGCAACCGAAAAAATAGCTGGGCGTTGTGGCGGGCGCCTGTGGTCCCAGCTACTTGGGAGGCGGAGGCAGGAGACTCGCTTGAGCCCAGGAGTTGGAGGTTGCTGTGAGCTGTAATGCCATGGCACTCTACCCACGGGGACAGCTTGAGGCTCTGTCTCAAAAAAAAAAAAAAAAAAAGATCTTGTCCAGATTTACTTATGTCATTTTCTGTCCCCAAGATTTAACTTACTTTCACAAAGATTTCATACTTGCTTTTCAAGAGGGTCTGGCATCCTTGTTAGCTAAAGTCATTAGGGATCAGAAAACAAGGTCCAAGCTTGTAAAGAACTTAACGTGGTTAGCCCAAAAGATTTTATTGTTGAAACTAGTTAAGTGTTCAGATGATTGTTTATCTGCACAAAACACTAAATATTCCACAGGTCCTACAGCAAACGTACAGACAAGTGATGAAGTATAACACCTCACCTGAGGGGATAATGGATTTGATCAGTAAAGGTTCATACTTGGCTGGGCACAGTGGCTCATGCCTATAATACCAGCACTTTGGGAGGCCAAGAAGGGAGGCTCACTTGAGGTCAGAAGTTTGAGACAAACCTGGAAAACATGACAAGACCCTATCTCTACCGAAGAAAAAAAAATTCACAGTTACTAACTCATTACTAATTATATAATCATTTAAGCAAGCATTTTCACTTTTTTTTCAGAAGGGGGTGGGGCGGGGTCTTGCAGGTATTTTCGAAAGTGCAGTGGTATCATCATACCTCACTGTAACCTCAAATACCTGGGCTCCAGCAGTCTTCTCACATTAGACTCCTGAATAGCTGCGTACTACTTGTCACCATGCCCAGCTAATTTTTCTATTCTTTATAGAGATGAGATCTCTCAGGCTGGTTTTGAACTCCTCGCCTCAACTGATCCTCCAACCTCAGCTACTCAAAGTGCTAGGATTATAGGCATGAGTCACCATGCCCAGCCTATTTTCACTTTAAAGTTTTTAAATAGGGTCTAATTTTCAAAGCCAAATCTGAAATTGTAGAACTTGTCACCCTCAGTATGGCATCACAGCTCACAGCAACCTCAAACTCCTGTGCCCAGTCAGTCCTCTTGCCTCAGCCTCCCGAGTAGGTGGGACTACAGGCACCCACCACAACGCCTGGGTGTTTTTTAGAAATGGGTCTTACTCTTGCTCAAAGTGATCTAGAACTCCTGAGCTCAGGAGATCCACCTGCCTCGGCCTCCCAGAGTGCTAGAATTACAGGTGTGAGCCACCACAACCAGCCTTAACATTTTTTAAGAAAAATACTAATATACCAATTGTGATTCTGAGTAAATTTTTGAGAAATAATTATGAAATACCATTTTACCTCATTGTATTCCTTTTACTAATCAAGCAAATAAGTAAAGAGATAAAAGATAACAGTAGTAATTGTTTCATGCGTTATCATTGTACTTCATTTCATCCTTATTGTATCCTTTTTTATAACAGAGCAAAGCAAAGCAATGAGGATCTGCTATACTAAAATCAAAATATTAAATCAGAACTATTTGAACATTTCTAAACTTGGTTTGGCACCCATAGCACAGTGGTTATGGCGGCGGCCACATGCACCGAGACTGGTGGGTTTAAACCAGCCCAAGCCTGCTAAACAACGACAACTGCAACCAAAATATAGCCGGGCATTGTGGTGGGCACCTATAGTCCCAGCTACTTGGGAGGCTGAGGCAAGAGAATCGCTTAAGCCCAAGTGTTAGAGGTTGCTGTGATGCCACAGCACTCTACTGAGAGCAACATAGTGAGACTCTGTCTCAAAAAATAAATAAATAAACATGTCTAAACTTTACTAGTCATTGGTACAATTTTTAAAATACAACCATGAGCTTTCCTTTATGATTATCCTACTTTGTTGCTTTTAACCCCTCAAATGATAAATTTGGACATAGTAAGTCTTTGCAGTTAAATCTGTGGATTTAATTCCCCTAAAATCACTCAAGCCCATTTTTTAACATAACCTGAACTCTTCAGTACCTTTCTAGGAGGCTCTTCTGTTCTGCAGAAAGCTTCCTGTCACAGCCACATTCATCAGAACCATAGGAGAAATATAACATAGGTATAAACAAGAGACCCACCAACCAACTGTAATCTTACACAACATTGTAGTATAGAATCTGCTGATTGTCATAGGGCTATGAACAGGGCATTATTAGAGCACAAAAGAAGGACATCTTACTTTGCTAGAAGAGATCGTATTTTATATTGAATCATATAAGAATCTAATTTGTTATTCATCTTTTTTCCCAGATAGATACTTGTTCTCTATCCCAAACTCCCAGAACAGTGCCTGCCACAGTATTAGGCACTCAGTATTTTAAAATGAATGAATGAATGGTTTCCCTAGGAGAAGCTATTAGATATGCCTAAGACTGAAAAACCAAGAAGTAGTAACAAAAATTATTTAGAAACATAGAAGTAAATTTCAAAATTGTGACCAAAAAGGTGAAAAATGGTTATCTCTGGGGAAGGGGGAAGAGGACTGCTGATTTTTATTACTAATCCTGTAGAACTACATGCAGGGTGGCCATAAAGTTCGGATGCAATCAAAAATAGTGTGCTATTTAAACTTTATGGCCACCAGTATATAAATCGAACAAAATTAAAAAGAAAGGGGAATTTGGGGGCTACTAATAGTAATTGTGAGATCTTTAACCGAGATAATGGCAATAGAGCTAGATAAGATCTTGTGGTTGTGAGAAGTATTTGGGAGGTAAAAATATAAATTGGTGACTGGACATTAAGGACGAAAAAAGGGATGCGTTTAGAATCTTTCCGGGATCTCTGGCTTAAGCAGCTGAGCAGCTCCATCATTTCTTCATAGAGTTAGAAAATGCATGGGCAAGTTTTGGATGAAAGGATAATGAATTCCATTTCAGACATGAGAGATTGAGTTCCCCGTTTAACAGTCTAGATGTTCAGTGCACAGCTAAAGCTTATGAGAAATCTGGTCTGGAAATAGATCATATAATAATAGGTTGAAGCTGAAGCTGGGAGTGCTCCCTAGAGAGAATGTGTATAGTAAAAATAAGATGGATCCACGACAAAATCATAGGGAAACATTGATATTTAAGAGGAGCCCATAAATGAGAGTGGGAAGGACTAGCACATGATAGGAGGAAAAGCATGAGAGAGGTGTCCCACAGGTAGGTTTTCAGGGAATTGAGTCACTTATGTCAGCTGCTCCCAAGGAGGTCCAGTAAGATAAGAATTGGAAAGTTCTATTACATTTGACAGTTCAGTTTGTGTCTATAATCTTTGTTAGAAAAATTTCTGTAACATGAGATGGGGGCTGGTAAAGGTTAAAGTGAGACAAACAAAGACTCACTAGCAGGTGAAACTGGATGCAAAGAAGACAACCCCCTCTTTAAAGAATCGTGTGAGGGCCAGATGCAGTGGCTCACACCTGTAATCCTAGCAGTCTGGGAGGCTGAGGCGGGTGGGTTGAGCTCACGGGTTCAAGACCAGCCTGAGTCAGAGCAAGACCTCGTCTCTAAAAATAGCCGGGCATTGTGGGGGATGCCTGTAGTCTCAGCTACTTTGGAGGCTGAGGCAAGAGAATTGCTTGAACCCAAGAGTTTAAGGTTGCTGTGACCTATGACGCCATGGCACTCTACCAAGAGTGATAAAGTAAAACTCTGTCTCAAAAAAAAAAAAAAAAGTCTGAGAAAAGATTAAATTGCGGGGCATAGGGAGTTGCTATAGGATCAAGGAATTATTTTGGCGTTTAGTTTTTTTAAGATAGACATTTGGGCATATTTATAAATATATTTAGGAGAATGAGCCAGTTGTGGAGGATTTGTTAGAAAGAATAAATTATGTAGGTGAAAAGAGGCATTTGTAAGAGAGAGAGCAGTATTAGTTCTCAGCAAGAGCATACCTTCTGAGACAGAGATGAGGATAACTATACAGAATAATATACATGTAGGTATATGTAGCTGAAAGTAAGAGAGCTTATATATCTGACAATCCTCATCTTTCTCTGGGGAATAGAAAATTAACAGTTGAAAATGATGAGAGGGGCAGCACCTGTGGCTCAGTGGGCAGGGCACCAGCCTTCATATACCGAGGGTGGCAGGTTCGAACCTGGCCCCAGCCAAACTGCAACAAAAAATAGCTGGGCATTGTGGCAGACGCCTGTATTCCCAGCTACTTGGGAGGCTGAGGCAGGAGAAACTCAGCCTCCTAAGCCCAGGAGTTGGAGGTTGCTGTGAGCTGTGATGCCACATCACTCACTCTACCAAGGGCAATAGAGTGAGACTCTGTCTCTAAAAAAAAAAAAAAGAAAATGATGAGAGAGGAGGTGGTATGGTAAAGCTTGAAGAGAGTGAAATGGGTCGGAAAGAACCACTGCATGGAAGCTTAAGGTAGTGAGTGTGAACAGATGGGATTAGAGAGCAATGTAGAGAACCAGGCTGAGACTAGAGACCGCAAGTTTGAAGTGATCATCAGCTACATGGTTTGATCATTTCTCTAGTATTAGTCATCATTCTCCTTTAGATACTTTTCAGATATCTATTTAGCAATACAAAATAGTAAAGTGTTTTAAAAATAGCTAGTTAATAGGCCTTAAAGAAGAATCAGTAGAGTGGACT